CCCAAGCCTTCTGTGCCCGACAGCGGCAGCTACGGACAAGCAGTATATAGTCAGCTACCTAGCAGGCGGACCCTTAGAGTTTCTTCTCTTTGGATCCTCCCCTGCTAGGACCTTGATCTCAGGCCTCCGGGGTTGCCCTTACAAGAAGCCAGAAAAGCACCATAAACTAATTCAAAAGATTCTCGGAGAAGCGGGCCGGGAGGACGCAGGCTATCACATTAGTGTGACTTGTTTGTTCATGTTTGTCCCTGGCATTTACACTTGTTTGGCTGATGGAATTTCAACTGGATGGGACCTTGTAAAGCAAGGTAACTACTGTCCTATTTGGATCAAGTGTCTGTGTTATGCGTTACGTTGACTAAAAAAGTCCTTGTTAAAAATCGCTATAAATCGAAAGAAATTTTTGTGGTCCCAAATTTCGAAAAAGTGCCAGACACTTGATCGAAATAGGACAGTAATGTATGTTGAAGTTTTGATGGTCACATGTGTGACTTGCCGGAATGTTCTAGCACATTCTCTTTCCTGCTGACTGATTCACTCAGAATATACTAGAACAATGTACAAATAGTATCTAAAGTTAATTGCGAGCGAAGCGGGCATATCCAGTAAAGCACGTGAGGAACCCAATGCCGTTTTCCAACGGTACAATCAATTTTTGATGGGAAACAGAATGTCCTCAAACACACTGCAGGAGTTCCGGAATAAACGGGGCCCCTTTCGATCGATTATACACCTCTAATCAATGTACCAAAAAAAGTAGTTTTTTTAATACCTCTATTTGCATGCAAAAAAACCGTCCCAAATTTACCTGCTTATATGAGAAATACGTGCTATAAATAGACCTTATTTTTGTCACCCAGTTCTGGGGCAGATTGAACACCCTTTTTTGGACTAGTTTTTGCATCAAAATGGGAACCAAAAAATATTCACTTATATGATCCAGGGCCCTGATATATGTCATATAAGTGCATATAAGTCAATATAAGTGAAGATTTTTTTGGTCCCCATTTGGATGGCAAAAAAGGTCCCAAAAAGGCCATTTGATATACCCCCAAAATCAGGTGACAAAAACCAAGTCTGTTTATAGCACATATTCCTCATATAAGTAGGTGAATTTGTGACAATTTTTGGGGGCACAAATAGAGGTACCCAAAAAATTTCTTTTTTTGGTACATTGATTTTAGGCATATAATCGATCGAAAGGGGCCCCGTTTATTCCGGAACTCCCACAGTGACATGGTCAATTATCCGTCTATTGCCCTGAAACTTGGTATAATGAATCTCTGAGTAGCCAGGAATATGCTGAAAAAAATTCAGGCGAAAATACTCAACATTGATTGAGATAGAGAACAATGGCCTATGCCACCCTACTATGCACGTGATTTGAAGCGAGCTTCTGTCGCTCGCGGGTCCATATTAGATAGTTAGCGTAGGGCATCGTTTGCCCTAACGCACAGATCCTTTATCGGAGTGTGATTGCAAACCCTTATCGCTCTTTTTGATCCCATCGCACCTCGGATCAACATTTATTTCAACAAAATGTACCGTCGAGAATGGCACTGATTACTCATCCATCAAACGTCACATTTGCCCATGTCAGAATGGCAGGATTGGGCCACATTACAGACATAACAATTTTTCAGATGTATGTGTAGGCTACTAGCAGTATGCTAGGTGGATAAAATATATATAGTCTGACTTGCAGTCAGAGTTAAAAACTATCTAAGTTTATCTTATTCAGAGTCTCTAGGCAGTCCAAGCCTGATTACAAACTATAGAAATTTTTAAATTTCTTGAATCTTGGCAAATCAGTGAACAAGTAGGCTTTAAGCTTGTTCTCCAGAACCTCTCAGTAGTCTGACTTTGGTCTACAATCTAGAGTTATAGATACATAGTGATTGCATCTGCGGTGTCTGTCACTGACTCACTGGCACTGCAGTCTGTGTTTTGTCAAAGTCAAACTCGACAGATTGACAGCTGGAGTGGGAACTGGTATAATTATACCGTTCTTCGGATTTTGTATCCTCACTTTCCTCCTATCATGTCTCGCCATCCTGCATTGGACGTTCTTCCCGCTGAGCTCTGGGAGCTCGTTGTGGAGCACTTGGACAACGACAAGGACCTGCTATTGGTTGCGGGCGTCGCACAGCTCCTGAACGAGCTTTGCATTCGAGAGTACCTCGCGCGGAGGGAGGACGACACTGTGACATTACACAAGCCCGACGCGGAGACTATGCACACGTTGGCACACTCCAGGCTGCTCCGGCGCGTCGCAATTGTCTACGGGCCGCACCGCACCCCCGCGATGGACTTGCTTGCGCACATGCTGGCGCGTGCCCCGAATATCACGCACGTGGCGCTGACGTTCGGGTCGCCACAGGGGTTCCGCACAAACGGCGCCGGCGGCAGCGGCGTCCTTGTGCTCTGCCGCGCGCTCGCCCACGCATACGGCCCGCGGCACGTGGGCGGGCCGGTGATCGTGAACTACGCCGGCGCGTTCTTCACGTGTCTTCCGGGGAACATCGCCCGCTGGTACCTCCCCGGTGGACGGCTCAACCCGCCGGCACGCGCGCGCCTCGTAACAGACACGGACAGTCCCGGTACGACGACGACCACGTGCCATGACGGCAGCAGGCGCCGTGTCGCGCAGCTCACGCGGCTCAAAAGCGTGGAACTTACCGTTCTCGGCCCGTCCGCGTGCAGCATGCTGGTATTCAACAGCGACGAACTCGAGTCATTTGATGTGATCGACGACCTCTCCCCGTCGGTCCGGCCGTACCTTGCCGAATTCCTTCGCCATGCCCGTCTGCCCGCACTCCGAACCATTGATATCGCGCTGCGCAACCTTCAGACCGCCGGCGCGCTTCGTAGATTCCTACAGAACCACCCCCAGCTGGCCAAGGTGTCTACTACGGGTGCCCTACATGTACCGCCCGGCACGGCACCGGCGCCGCACCCGGCGATCGCCGAGATCTCCATGCGTGCCGATCCGAGCTCCGATACCGTGCCCGGCGGAGTTCTTTCCTGGCTCGCGCAGTCGCCCAGCCTCAGTATTGTGTCCCTCACATTCAACGAAACCGCCTCCAATACAGCAGCATTCCTCCGTGACCTCGAGGCACTCACCGGCCGCCCTGCTACAGCACCGGCACTCACGCTCCACCTCACGTTAACGGTGCCAGCTGGCAAAGCTGCCCCACGTACGGGTCACGGTCATGGGCCAGCCCTATGGGCAAGCACCCAGCCTTTCCTCGCCGTCGCTACAGGGCTCTTCTGTGTCGGCCAGGCCACACTTACCGTCCCCACGCTTGTGACGGCAAAGCGCCTGCTGCCGTGGGTTGTGCGCCTCCCTGCACTTACACAGGCGACCTTTATTGTGGCCTGTCTCTCGCCGACATTGCCCAATGATGCTGTGCTTGCTGAGCGGGAGCGCCTTCAGGCAGCACTTTCTGTTGCCGCTGAGGCTGCAGGATGGTGGGGTGATCCTGCGCGGGCGCCTCGTCTGCGTGTGGCGGTTCAGGTGCCTTCCCCTCTGGAGGGTATGATTGCAGCGTGAATTTCAATTTCACGCGATGCTTAAATCTTATTGGCACCATGTACCTGCCAGTGTATCTAGGTAGTTATGTACAAGATTATTATGTCTGGTCTGAGGGGTGACCTTTCTCTGCCATGGGATTGTAGCAAGTATACATCATGATAGGAAAAATAAGTTGAATGGGTTGATTGAAACATGTGGAGTCTATCAGTTCACTCCTGACTGTAATCTGTTGTCCCCACCTCCGACCTCGGTCATGGAGTCGGAATACGCAGGCGGGCCTGTGAGACGTGGCGTCAATGGCATCACATCTTGACTCAGGCTGTTCGGCCCAGGCCTAGCATAAGCAGGTCTGCTCTTTAACAACTTGTCTGGCTGTCGCCAAGACACGGGGAGCATCAACGTGAATGGTACAAGCCGGGGAATGGTCGTCTTCGGGTCCCAGAGCTGCCGCCGTCGCCACTGCCTGCAATAGCAACACACAAGCACAGATGTGGTGACCAGAAAGATTGGAATGCTGATGCCGAGAGCGATGGGTATGGAATGAGTAGAAGCATGTGCAGGAGAGAGCACTGCCGACCGCAGAGGGCACCTGACAATGATCTCTTAGTGGGTGCTCATAAGAAGGTTTGAGGGACTATGAGTAGTCTCACGCTGCTCGACCCAGTCCACCCTTTTGTGACATGAATACTCTGCAGGTTTGTTGTACTTATGCTTATGCTGGTTGGTGGAGGGGTAGCCGAAGTGCGAGCAGTGCCGTCGGTTGCACTTCTGTATTCAATGGCCATCAAGTTTCCAAGTATACGAGACAGTTTCCATACCGCACAACATTTGCACTGACTGGACAGTTATCACCGCCTAAAATCAACGCGCTCGAAATCTAGTGCCACACCAGTCAGTCAGGTCTCAATTGCTTGCCTCGTCGTATGCACAGGGCACCAAAACGCTGGCGTATGAGCAGATAAGTTGTCCAGTCAGAGAGACAGCTTTCTGAAGTGTCAGGTCGTTGCTGTCAATATCCACCCGCGGACAGGAGGTCATCTATCGCACAGTGAGCGTTCAGGGTCACAATGGGAATCTCGCAAGATCATACCTGTGCTAGTGTGGGCATTAAATACCCAGCACAGTCTTGTGAGTCCGTTGTGGCATACATCATTTGAACTTTAGACTTGACTTCAAGCCGCCAGTCATTGAGCGTTTCGGTCTGATTCTCTACAAAGCCCTCGAGCGACCTCGACAAAGGCAACGAAGTCCCCACTGGCTGTGAAGCGGAAGCCGTTTCCATCCGACCCGTCAAATGGCTAATAAGTCACATTTCAGTAATCACATATTTGACGAGAGAACCGCTGGCACGCACCCCCGCAACACGCATGTTCCCGACTTCTGGTTATATGTCGCGAAATTGAGCTGGGTGACTCGATTTCCCCGGTGTGTGTCGCCTGCCTTGCCGGAAATCCGCCACAATCACTTAAGAGGCTAGCGCATGATTTCATTCGTTATTGATAGTCTGAGCGTCAAGTAAGACGCTGCTTACCACTCATCTCGAACGTGGACCGCTTCATCCCCCGGTCTTTCCTTTCGCTCGCCGTCCCGTGATACAACGTCCCCGCCGAATACTCGCCCTGGCTCATCGCATACGTCACTTGAATACTGTCAATCTGGGAAATGTACCGAAAACACATACCGCATCGCCATGAACAAGTGTTATCTCCTTCACCGCATGTCCCGGATCTATCGCCGGCTTTCCCGCCGCCACCATTGAACACACCTTGATAGTTGTGGACCGATGGCTTGCATGCCTCAAGGTCGCTGAACATCTTGCCCTTCCTGTCGCCAAATACATTTGACCATACAGGCCCGTATCGAGCGTTGTTACCCGCGTAAACACCCGCAGCCGCGGCGGGTTGAAGGGGAGTGTTTCCGGGAGGCGGAGCAATCATGCGCCGGGAAGCTCATAGTGGTTTGCCATACGGATCCAACTCGTGACAAGATCGTCGCCGGTCGCGTTATGCATGGACAACGGGACCAGCATTCGACGTGTCATGCCCCAGCATATTCTCAGCCAGTGGATATAATGAGACTGCTTGGACACCATGACGATAGACACGAGAATGACATTTCCGGAACTTAACAGGGCCATATGAAACGGAGGATGGATAAGTATACGCAGAGATTGTAATTGTTCCACCTAGGTCGGCGGTCGGAGTAAACACAGGCTGCGTTGGCCTCGCAGACCAGCAGCAGCGCCGATGCAGCGCTCCTCGCTAAGCAGTAATGTGTGGTCCGCAGGTGAAGCACAATATGCTTTGCACGACGTCCGCCAAATGGGTGTGTCGGCACGACGGAACGGGTGGAGACGGAGGAGATGATGGAGCGCAGGTGGTTGTTTTGAGCTCGAGCGTGTGTTGTTAGTCGTTGACGGGAGAATTCCATCGGCCATGGGCAAGCTTTTATACTTGCAATGTATGCAGGCTCGCTTCACCACGACATCCGGCGACAGTACTGGTTGCAAGGTTTTTGACGCAAGTCTGAGATCGAGATGAAGCCTTCGGCGCCAAGATGAAAGACGTTGGACACCATGTCCAAGGAGCCGAGCTATACATGCAATCCCCCAAAGCCCAGGGTCGTCGAATATATCCAAAAGAGTGTGTTTGCAGTTAAGCACATTTTGGATGCGATTAACAAGCAAAATGAAACGCAGGAACGACAAGGGAAGCAGGGAGTCCGTCTTCGTGTCGAGTTTTTTTCAGTCCCCGACGACGACTTCCCGTCCACCTTCAAGCGACCATGACCAAAACGGTGAACCACTAGCGTCCTCGGGAGGTCATGAACAAGACAATAGCTCTGTTGTACATTGGCTCATCGTGTAGCCTTACTCCGGCAATACGAATGAGGCCGACCGAGTATGGTGTCACCAGCTATGCGACCGATACCAATGTTTTTGCGCATGGGACCTGCAGCACAGCCACATGACAGGAAGTCGCAATCGAGACTACAAAGCTGGTGGTGGGCGATGAAGCATTTTTTCGCCTGCGAGTTGATGCTCCCGATAATCGTGTGGGTCGGCGAAACCGGGTTATTTGGCATTTGGAGTCGGACATGGAAACAGGACGAGTAGGAAGCCGCATCCGAAAGCCATTTTTCATATTGGTATTGCGAAAGCATGACGCCCTGACCGGAAAAGCACGGAAACGAGTCCGTTCCTCGTCAATTGAAAAGGTCGAAGTTTAACCGAAGGAAATGAGTACGGGGCAGTGAATGGGAGGATCGTTGTTGGTAACTGCCGTGTTGTACACTTTTGAGCATATCGTTGACCGAATGAGGAACCAGCATAGAAAGCGCGTGGCGGGTGTATCAAACGACTTCCTTAGCGAAGCCGTCGTCCGCGAAAAGATGGCAGTGGCCTAAAATCGATGAAATTTCGGCATGTCGGGAATGTAGGCTGTAGGCGGCTTTTTTTTGGCTATGGCGGGGTGAGGGTATGTGGTCCTTTTCCTCAAAATGAAGCGCAAGAGGAGGAATATTATCGCTCTGGAAGTTGTCGTTTTGGTGAAAGGCGTAGGAAGCCCAAGGTTATGGTGTCGGAAGCATCCTGCAGGCAATGGTAGGCCTTCCGCGATGATGATCTAGTACTTCAGTCCGCAGATTTTTGGCGGATTTGAAGATGAGACAGACATAGCGAGGAAGGATGTGGGCTCGTTGGTCCGCAAGAAGGGCATCACGGCCAGGAATATATGACCATTGACTGTGCTTTCGGGACCAGATGCTCGAGACGGACGAGGTATATGGATGGAGAACGTTTCAAGGCACTGTCGCGAGATTAGCATGCCAATGAAGAGGGAGACGACGACATACTGTGTTATCATTTCTCGGACACAGTTTCGCTCTTTGTCTCTGTCAGGCCCCAGCCGTTCCTTCCCTCGAGAGAGTATATATATATTATTATATATATATAGGCTTCCAAAGCACACGCCGTTAGCATCGGGGTAAAACTGCAAGATAAAAAAGTCCACATACGAAGCAGTCCTCCGAAGCAACTTCCTCCCCTCAGACTCAGAGTTCAAAAATGGGCTTGAAGGGCGGGCACGTTGAGGAGAGTATGTCCAGAGTCCAGGAGAAAGAGAAGGGCGTTTTCCAAACACCCCCGAACAGCCGACCAATGGAGCTCTCCAGCTAAAAGCGAGCTCGGGCGAGCTTGATGGGGGGTGAGTATATTGCATATTGTTATGAAACGTGGCGCACTATGCAAGACCTCCGGTCAGCTCCAGCGAGTCAAGTACCCCCCAGCGAAAAAACCAGCGAAAACGATGTGGCCAAGATTAGTATCTGTATAAAGCACCACATGCCAATGCAGGTGGACAGCGCGCGACGGGTCGGTACGCTGGAGTGGATTGAATGGACGCATTGGAGGGAATGAGATGGTGGTCAAGGAGTGCGGCGTCGTGACAGCTCCAAGTTTGGGCATCGAGCGATTCGACGACCCAACGACGACCAACCACTGCCTCTCGCGTCCAACGCGAAAACTTGAAGGCATAACGACAACGATGGTTTCCCCCCCGACGTAACTTCCTCCTTGTTACACCGCACTTGATGCTCTCAGTTCATCAAGTTATTTCTACCAGTATGCTCACTGTTGAGTCTGGAAGCCTTAGGTGGAATTTGGTCGTCTTCTGAATATCCTTGCCCATCCTTCTTGGCGCGTCAACAGCTACACGACCGTCATGCGCTACAATCAAGGGATACAAACAAATCTGCCCCAAACACCTCAGCTCAATGTGTATCTGTACGCCGAAGGGAATGCCATATTCAAGTTATTATAAGGAGCTCAATGTACTTGTCGCCGACTGCTCCCCGTACCCATGCCCATGGCCACATATCGTCGAGCCTTAAACTATGCGTGCCCTCCGGAAACAACCTCTGGCGGTCTACAGCTGTCAGGTTCCGAGATGGTGATGGGAAACAGCGCAATGCAATGTAACTACGGAAGTACAAGCCTGTTCGGAAACTCGGTGTGGTGCACGTATAACTGGGTCCGCTAAATTCCGAGCTTCATAACCATCGCTAACAGACATCGTCAGGATGGTGTAAGGGCAACCCCGGAGGCCTGAGATCAAGGTCCTAGCAGGGGAGGATCCAAAGAGAAGAAACTCTAAGGGTCCCCGGAGTCCCATGGTGCCGCCAGACGTTCCGGTAGTAGAGGCGGGCTGCCCCTACTGCATCGACCGTCGTATGACACTCCGAGAAGTGGGCGCGCTTTCCGAGGGTGTCAACGACGACCATGATCGCATCATACCCATGGGCTTCTTTAGCCTAGTAATTCTCCCTAGGCCAAAGCATTATTTTAATAGGAATATATATTATTACTCTTTATCTGGTATTCTATTACCTAAGCTAGTGCACCCATTTATATAATGTTTTTAATGTGGGACCATTTTTGATTGCCATCAGTACTTTTGATGGCTATATTACAATACATCATTTTTGTCCAAATTAGGATTATCATTGACACAGGCCTTCCCAACTATATACCGGGTCATCGGCCTGAAGAAAAGGAGTTTAAAGTATTATATATGTATTAATATTAATATTATAGGTATTATATAACCATTTATTCCATCATTGATGCTATATTGATCCAGACACCCTGAGATGATTCTAGCCTAGATCACTGGGTACACCTAGGCTAGGTACATTTAGTATCCTAGGCAATGCATTCCCTAGGTGCACCTAAGCCAGGAGGCTAATTCTTACAGCTATGGGTGGAGCAGCTGTGTCCGTGTAGCGGGCGATCAACTCCGCTAACATCTCGTCACCGAGTTGTTGGATCACCTCGTCGAGGACGTCCATCGAGCGGACATCGGCGGGGAGGGGGCAATCCCGGGCGAGATGGTTTGGGTTGCCGCACCTGAAGCAGGCGCGGCGAGGGGCACCCCGAGCCCTGGTGCGGTCCAACTCCATAGGGACGGGAGCTGGAGGCGCCGGAGCGGGGGCGCGAGCCGCGGGTGGCACGACCGGAGCCACCGGGCGGAAGGGGGCCGGAGCCGGGATGCGTTTGACCGGAAACGGAGTCCGAATCAAACCGCCAGGCATCTTGGGGGCGGCTGACTTGATCAGCTTGGCCCGGACCAGGGCCTCATATTGACGGAAGGCCCGGGTGCGCCAGCTAAGGTAATCCCGGAGGTCCGGGGGGTCGTTCGAGGACGTGATTCCGTTGTTGATCAAGGGGTCAAGTCCGTGGCGGAACTTGGTCACCTTGACCAGCGCGTCTTCGAATCCGGCGAGGTCCATCAGGTCCTCGAAGTCGTTGGTGTACTGGTAGACATCCTTTGTACCCATGTGATAGGCGGAAGTCTCCAGCTTGGAGAGAGCGTGATCTTGCTCGTTCTCCTCGACGAACCAGAGTCGAAACTCAGAAACGAACGAGCCCCAGGACGGAAACGGAAACGGGGCTTTGCTTGCGTGGCGCTCCGCCCATTGCTGAGCGGGTCCTTCTGCCATAAACGACATGGCATAGCGGACGGCCTTTTCCTCGCTCGCCTCTCCGTTGACCACAAAGGCCTCAGGGGCAAGGCGGGCGTAGGTGCGGACCGCATAGAGAAACGCGCGGCCGCGTTTCCGATCGCCGTTGAAGGTGAACGGAGGGTTTGGTCGCAAGACCAATTTTGAGGCGAGGTTGATGTCGCCAAAGAGGGCCTCGGAATCGCCCTGAACCGGAGTCGGAGTCGGAATCGACGTCTCCGGCAAAGGTGTTTGGGGTCCGCCAGCATTATTAGCGGCGGCAGCGGCAGTGGAAGCCTGGTTGGTGAGTAAAGCAAGGGCCTCAGTTAGGCTATCGATTTTCGCCTCGAGTGAGTCCAGCCGGGCGTCTGCGGTAGGAGTGACTCCGGACGGCATGACGGGTGCGGGGACCACAGGAGTAGAGGAGGAGGGGACAAGTGGC